CGAAAAAAGAGTTTCGAAAACTTTTTTTTTAATCGAAAATTCAACTTTGGCTTTCGTGAACAACCCTAATATTTTTTATGTATAAAGGATACTTTTTCAGAATAAATTTAGACAGATTTTTTTTTTATCTTTCATGTCATAGTAAAATATATTACAAAAAGTAAAATGATACTTTCATAAAATATATGCTAAATTTTTAAAAAAATGTTTATCTAGCTGTAGGAACAATTTTAGTTACGTTTTTGTTACATCTTAGCTTAAAATAATTTTATTTGTGTTCTAGCACCTTTTTAAATATTATATTTTTAAATAAATATTTTTAACCTTTTCTCGCTTTTTTTTTCGTCGTTCTAAATTAACTTTGAAATAAGTTTCGACTGAAATTTAGTACTTCAGCTTCAATTTTAAAATTAAGTTAAAACCTTTTCAATCCCATCCTCTTCTTCTTTTCAGTCAGTCTTAATATATTTCAAAAAAAAATTCCGGCAACTTAACAAAAATAATTGGCAATTTAACAAAAATAATTTATGACTTTATTATTAAATATATTGATTTCAATATTTGTATAAAATTAGCTCCAGATAATGAATAATATAAAGTTATATGATTTGTATCTATGCTTGAATGATAAATATTTGGAAACGGTGTGCTTGAATTTCAGAAGCCAATTCCCAAATTTTTTTTCAGTAAATGAAAATAATTTAAGCGTATACAACAAAATTAAAATTGAAGTGGATGAATTTAAATCGTTACTAAAAATGAAAGAAGAAGTATATATAATCTGATCGCTTTTATAACGTGACGACCCATGAAATATATATAAATTATTGAATGCAAGTAAAGATTCGACAATTAAAAAAGAAACAAAACCAAGAAATAAAAAAATCAAAAAATTACTTTAATAAAGTCATAACAAACCTTAATAAAACAGTTAAACCTTTTTTTAATAAAGGTTTAACTGTTTGATTAAATTTAATTAAAACTGGAGATTTAAAAAGCAGTAATTTTGAAATTGTTTTTGCATTCAATACTTTGAAATTATGTGCCACAAGATTGATAAAAAACTGCATCTAAAGCTTTTCATGTTAGGGGGAGTGATGAAGTTGGAGTTGCTGGGTATTTTCATGCATTTTTGCTAGTAAAGAAGTAAGTGTATACTTGTACCCTATGTTGGTAACAGATTTAATATATTATATAATAACGCTGCAGCTTTGTATTCAAAGAATATTTTAGAGTTTCTCCAAAATTAACTGAATCTAAATAATTGTTTACTAACAGTTAAAGAAGATATTCGCAACAAGCTATATTTAGCAGCACTGGGGGCATGAATCGCAACAAGCTATATTTAGCAGCACTGGGGGCATGAATCGCAAAAAGCTATATTTAACAGCACTGGGGGCTTGAAACTGGGGGCATGAATTTTGCAAACCTTAAAAATGAAGCTTTTAGACTTGTGTAAAAATGCATCATTGATTATGATCTCGAAAACACCTATATTCTGTCCTAGTGATGTTAATATTCTTAAATTAATTTTGTATAAAAAGTTATTTAAAGAAAAAACTAACCCTGATTTAAATATTTTAACGCTGCAGACTTTAAAAGCGATTTGTCATTCTTTGTTAGTTATTCTGGAGAAAAAAAAATCTGGTGATTAACTTTCTAGTGGAATATATTGGCATAAGCTGCAATACTTACAAAATTATACACGAAACGTAATAAGTAGTTTGAATAGACCGAAAATCTTAATTTTGTAATAAAATATATGAAGGTCATAAATATTAATATTGATGAATAAATTATATAGAGGAAGTTTGTGTACCTAGGGTCAGAATTTTTCAAGGCTCCAGACTTGTCTAAAAATGGTGAAACAGATATGATCACATTTCTATACTATTAGTTTGTATTAGAATAAGTATATTGAATTAAACTGTAAAAGTTCGTCATGTAGAAGGGTTTAAAAATTAGTGGCGCTAATTTTTACCGCCACTCGGTGTAGTTAAAGTGATTCATAAATTGTTAGAATTCTTTTATTTGAAATTAGCATGATTTTATCAGCGTATTATGCCCCAAACAAGAACTTTAGATATTATAATTTTTTTTGCTTCAGGTTTTTCAACATTTAAAGAGACTTTTCTTTTTTATATATAATTTTCAAAACCTTTTTACTAACCCTAAACGTGAATCTAAAGAACATCATTTTGGAGTCTTTAGATCACTTTTGCTCATCGGCGTTAACATGAATTTAGTTAAAACATTTAAAAAAAAGTGCCTTAATCTACTATAGATCCTAGTTCTAATCGGTTTTGACGTATATTAACTACATATAGTTGTCAAAATACAATATTTCTATCAATTTTCACAAAAAATACTAGAATTCCGACCATAAAAGAGCATATAATTAAGAAAAATTGCCAATACACGAGGTTAGAATTATTTTGTTCTAACTCCACTTTTTGAAAAAATCGAGTTATTGATTGTGTTATGTACCTCAAAATAATGTTTTTCTACTATATTAAGTTAAAATCAAAAGAGTTTCGGAGAAAACATATGAAATAAGAATCCTTTTATATGCCGTCTCCTAAAGTTTTTGTTTTTTAAATTGTTTTATCTCAAAACAAAAAAATGCGGAGATAGAACAAAATAATTCTAACCTTGCAAATAAACGGTCAAAATAGATCATATTATTAAATTATGATGTTAATTTCACCTAAAAAGAGCATTTATTTAAAATCTCATTCAAATTTAGACATGCGATCGTGATTTTAAGTAGATTTTTATTTAAAAAAAAAAGAATCTTCGGTCTGGGTTTTTTTCACTACAAACATCTATTTTATAATAGCGCAAAAATTATCCTTTTAATTTTTTTCGTCTTTTCATAATTCACAGACCTGATCATTTAACAGAAATATGTCACCTTCAACAAAACATTATACAGACCTATAATATTTTAAAACTGCCTTAACTACACCGAGCAGCTATTGTGCCTAGGGTCGCTCTCTGAAAATTAGATTTAATTCCATAATAAAGTAACAAAAAAAAAAAAAAAAAAAAATAGACACATAAAATTGATAAAAAGTTTACTTAATCTTAGATTGTTTTCAACAAATTTATTTTGTTTCTTAATTGCAACATTTGAATAAATAAAAAAATAGTTCTGTTAGCCCTAGGTTCAAGCAAACTATATAGCCCTAGGTACAAGCAATAATAGCCTTGTGAAAAATGTTATCTATTAACGAACCCCCATTGAGAGGAAACTTATCGAGCATTGCATTTAACACTTAAGTAACAAACAATATAATATACAAGAACTTATAGAAAAGTATTTCCTCTAGAATTAAAAAAAAAATAATCTAAGATACAAACGGAAAAAGTTTGCTTGAGACCATCGAAAATCGTTTTCTGATTATAAATTGCCTTAGCAATGCTCTCTGAGAATAAAAATAGAACTAAAAAAATAATATTTTTATAACTAACCACCTCACCGAGTAGCATTACTTAGAACTTTTTATTGTTTTCACTTAAAGTGGGGTGACCCTAGGTAGACGAACTTCCCCTAATCAACTAACGATCATACATATATTTTAATATTTTTTGTTAACATTTCCTCAAAAGTATGGTTTGGTTTCTATACTTCAAAATATACTTCAAAATTATGAGTCAAGGTCTTTTACTATAGAATCAATTGAAAAAAGTATATAAACCTATTGAACAGTTTGTCGTTTAATAGGAAAGCTTTTTTTTTTTTTTAAGAGTATTTTATATTTGTTATAATTGTAACTCCAAAACAATTATAAAATATAATTTTATAATTGTTTTGGAGTCGTCCATATATTACGTCACGCTCTATGGGGAAGGAGTGGTTAGTGTTTTTGTGACGACTAAAAGTAACTTAGAACTAAAAATTTCTTCTTGTTGTTAGAGTTAATTAACTCGACATTTTTGGCTAAAAAAAATTTAAAAAAATATAATTTAGGCATCTTCTAAGTTCTACGCAAATAGTGTTTCTACATTTGTAAGTGCTCAGATGTTTTCATATTTTTTATAATACCTAAATTCAATATAAGAAAGATTTTAAAATATAGAATAACGATAACATGTAGTTATTTATACATGTTGCAATTTACATCATGTAAGCAATCATGGGTAAACTCGTTTGTAATTTAATGACACTTTAAGTGTTAAAACTATTACAAATATAACAAATTATAACAAACATATTAATTACCAATTTGCAATACGGTATTGAAGTTTTTTAAAACATTTTTCTTATGAAAATCAAGTTTAACCAGAAAGTTTACACCTGCTTCCCTACCAATGTCATTTACAGGGTTAGAGTTGGCGTCGATCCTCTATGTTCTAAGTCAGAACTCTAACCACCCCTCCATGGCTGCGTTAAAATGTGCATTCGACAGAGTCTGAACCCTCGTCTTGTACTTCAGAGGAGCAGCGAGCTAACTACTTCGGCCACTAAGTATAACAATAAAATTATGGTGTATAACTAATAAAGTATTATACCTTAGACGTTTAGAAAACATATTTTTTATTTTTTGGAAAGCTGTTTAATTAGGCTTTTAATCAAGTGTGTCCAATAGTGATTCAAAACAAAAAATGTACATTTCTGTTTTTATCAATTAATCAAGTTTAGATTAATTTAAGATTTAGAAATAAAGTAATTATTCTCGATAATCTTGCTTTAATAAGAGTGTTGATAATTAATTATAGCTGTTAAGGTTTATAACTATAAAGTTTGTTAATAGAATATAAAATTTTCAATGTCTTAATAAAAATTAATAAAAAATTTTAGATCTGTTTTATACTACGTCGATTAGATTCAGTTAATATCGCTTAGGAGTTATTCATTTTTAGATTTAATTCGGTAAAATATGAATTTTAATATTGAGTAAATACTTTTAAATTTGAGTAAGTAAAAATAAAAGTGAAGTACAATTTCTGTAAAAAATTAAAACAAAACACGCGTTAAATTCGATATTTATTTATTTAATACATTTTGAATACATATTTATTTGTTTTTTAGTATTATGATTAAAAAAGCTCTTGAGAATTTTTTGTTTTCAAATTGATTTAGAAGAAAAGTTTCATTCACTTCCAGACTTGATAGACGATAAGAGCAGCTTAATAGATCCAAATAAACCACCTAATCCAATTAATGTTCCAACCAAAAGAATTATTAAACTTCTAAGCTTTTCCTGACAAGATAAAATTCTCCACTTTAGCTTTAAATGGAAAAAACATGGGAAAATGAAAACTAAGCAAGTTCCAATCAAACTTCCCCGTATTCCCAAGGTAGCTGCAAAATATGGAAGAAAAACTGCTGCTGCGACACTGAGTACTACTAAAATTAAGCGAGTACATACTATCCACAAGTAAAACAGAGTCTTTATTCTTTCAACTGCGGTTTTTTCAGTAAAACTATCAACAAATTCACTCACTATAAACATACTGAGTGGATAATTAAAGATAGTATATAGGACTAATGTGATAGTACAGCATATGGATATACTTTGATTAACAGAAGAGATACTTAAGATAATAATACTATTTGATCCCAAACCAAATGTGAAGGAACCAAGAGAAGCAACAACAACCTTTACGATTGCTGTTACAAAATATGAATAATGGAGCACTTGGTTAATTTTTGATCTATCTTTCATACTCCCTTCAACGTGCGGAAGGACAGAATGCGAAACGCAGGTAAGCATCACTATGGAGACTGCTAATGGAAATCCATTTAAGTTAATTACAGGTATGTTGCTCATATGGGATTTCCAATTTCCAGATCCTAGAATAAATAAAATAACAACCAAAAATGTACCGATAATAACTGAAACAGCTGCTGAAAGACTGAGATACGCCAGAATTGTAAACTTTCTAATAAATAAAGTTGGATAAACCAATATTGAAAAAATAATTGTAAGTGCATTAAAAGAGAGATAAGTGTAGGTATAAAGTAGCTGGTATACTCCTTTTCCAAGTAGTAAAATATTAACGACGCAACCTAAAAATAGATAAACTATTAGGAACGCATTTAACAAACGCGCACCATGTTGTCCCCATACGGAGCGCGCAATATCTACATAGTTTAAATGCACTCTTTTTCGCTGTTTACTTTTAGGAGACTCAGCGTACAAGCAGTCAACTAATATTAATCCAGTAATATCTGCCATTATGCTGATAAGAAATATAATAGGAATTATTATGTATCCACCAACTGCGACACAATAAGGTAAGCTGAAAACAGAGGTTCCTAATGGTAAGATATTCCACGAGGCAAGAAAAACCGTTGCTCCTAGGAAAAAAATTAAAAACTATTTTAAAAATTTTGGCATAAAATATTACAAAATAGGGGAGAGTTGCCTTAATTAGAACACTTAAGGAATAAATATTTATTTACCAAATATGGTTTAACTATGAAAACATTTATGATTTGATTGATACAAACAGAAAACCTACTATACTTTTAACCACAATTTGACTTCATTGATTGCACTGTTATTGGAAATAAATTTGTTTTTGCAAAGTTACCATTTTGTTTCAATCAAGGCAACTGGTTCCCTAAATTTGAACTCTTTGATTCCTTAATCAAAATCATGTTTTTATACGATTCTTAATCAGCATAAAGTTCTCTATCGAAATCAATCATAAAATCATAAGGGTAGCAACTGAAACAGTGCCAAAAATACTTGGTAACAACCATAAACCTTAAAAATAATACATTATTTAGTGATTTTTAATCAATAAATTAAGAAAACATCACAACAGTTGAAGTTTTATACAATTTTTTGTTTGTAGACTTTAAATTTGTCAGGATAATAATATTAATCCTATAATAACTTTTAAATTAACTGTTTACATTTTCAGTGTAACAATGAAAACTATTTTTTACAAATTTTTTTTGATATTACTGGTTGTTGTTTTTTTTTTAAATAACCTGGTTTTTTTTTTTTTTTTTAATAAATAGGTTATTTAAAAAAAAAACAACAACCAGTAATATCAAAAAAAATTTGTAAAAAATGGTTTTCATTGTTACACTGAAAATGTAAACAGTTAATTTAAAAGTTATTATAGGATTAATATTATTATCCTGACAAATTTAAAGTCTACAAACAAAAAATTGTATAAAACTTCAACTGTTGTGATGTTTTCTTAATTTATTGATTAAAAATCACTAAATAATGTATTATTTTGAAAAGCTCTAATTAAACACTAAAAAATGATTAGATGATAATACAAAAATCAAGAAAAAAAACTCTAAGTAATCATTTTACCAAATTCACAAAATATTTTTTGCCTTGGGATCGCTATTTTTATCGTTTCTTATAGGCTTTAACTTCAAAAATGATTTTACTCAAGCACGCTTTTCAAATAAAAAACTGAAAACAAAATTAATGTTTTAAAAAAGGAAATCAACTTTACAGAATTTACAATT